GAAATAGAGGGAAATGCAGAGGGAAAATAGAAAAAGAAATAGAATGAAATGCAGAGGGAAAATAGAAAAAGAAATAGAGGGAAAATAGAAAAAGAAATAGAGGGAAATGCATAGGGGAAATAGACAAAGAAATAGATGGAAATACATAGGAGGAAATATAGAGGGGAAAACGGAGGGGAAAGAGAAAAGGAAATAGAACATGAAATGCAGAGGGAAATGGAGATGCTGGCTGCCATGTTCATGAATGTAATGAAAATGATAGCCGACGACAATATATACGAAAGTAACTCAACGGAACCTCGGTAATTAGCAAGAACTATCAATAAAAATTACTAAGCAATGTAGTTATACAAGTAAATGCACATGTTTTGTTCAGTTATATCAATAGCAATTACTAAGCAATGTAGTTAACACAAGGAAATATATATGTTTTGCTCAGTAATGTTTTTTGTGAGAAGAATTGTCTTTCCCACTTGGTATTAACAGATCAAAATATGCATTAATGTTTGTTTATGAATAGGGCTTCAAAGGTCGGAAAATATGTATGCCAGGAATTCATTTTTTGTTAGTCTTTACAAAACAAAAGCAAAGATAGGAACACAACCAAATTAAAAATAACAGCAGTCAAAATAAATTCAAAATCATTTTCTAGATTTAACGAAAAAAATACATGTCAATAAATTGGAGGATAAAATATGAAGTGCCGAAAAAAAAACAATATAAACTGTCTCGATGATAATGGGGGAAACCTTCTCGATGATAATGGGGAAACCATCTCGATGATAATGGGGAAACCATTTCGATGATAATGGGGAAACCATTTCGATGATAATGGGGAACCAAATCTATGATAATGGGGCAACTATCTCGATGATAATGGGGAAACCATCTTGATGCTAATGGGGAAACCATTTCGATGATAATGGGCAAACACTAGTTCTGCCTAGTACCACGTACCGCGTGCACGTGCTTGTTCTTAGCCCTAGCACGGTCGAGGTTCTTGTTAGCGTGCTCGTAGTCAGCGAGGCAGCGCAGGCGCCGGTAGAGGAGGTCCTTAGCGGCGCTAGAGTCGCGCTGGTAGTAGCGCAGGGTGTCTACCAGCTTCAAGTCCTCATCGCTGGACAGGTGACCTTCTATCTTCTGTAAAACAGGTTATATTAATTATCATTTCATTCATTTTATATAATAAAATTCATTCATAATAAATTACTTTATTATATAAGGAAATTATGTAACTGTCAGAAGCGAAAAATTACTTAAGAAATTCTAAGTTGGTCCAAGTGGGCAAAAATACGAGGAGGTCGCGTGTCTTGTCTGCTACAGGTTCACATTACTAGATAGAAAAATGAAGGCAAACATTTTTTTTCTGAACACAATGTGTACGTACATCATAAGTGTACAGTAAGATCATATGATTGCCTGGGTGGCAAGTTGAATAAAATTTCAATCCCTCTCAGTAGCAAAATGTCTTTCTAACTTCCGCACATGTTGAACTATGTAGTAAAAAATGATAAATTGATTTATTAAATCACAAATCCATAAGTAATTATTGGTTTATCTAATTCTTTCCTAGATTTTAACAGTGTTGCAAACAATTCTGCAACATACAAACTGAGTTGGAATAATCAAAATCCATTCTACACAAGCCACACAAAATTTGCTAATTTTTTAAATCTTGCTGATTAAAACATTTCAATGAAAAATATAAACAACACGGTGTTGAAAGAGGTTAAGATTGTCTGGACTTGTTATAAAATATGGCGTCATCCATAACTAACGAGAATATACCGAGTTTCTCCTCAAATCTAATATCACAATTTGCGTAAAGTATATTAATCACATAATAGTTTATGGTCAAATAATTTGAGTTCAGTCTTTTACTCGAGATACTTTTGCTCTAAAATACACCCATATCACTTGCATAACACACCCATACAACATCCATTACACACCCATATCACTCCCGTAACACACCTATATCACACTCGTAAAACACCTGTAACACACCACTACAACACCCATAACCCACCCTGCTTTTCTCGAAGTGGTCTGCCAGCACGGAACAGAATGAGTCGAGTGCGGGGCCCTCGATGGTGCCCAGGTTGACAAGACATGCTGAGACTTTGATGCAAGAGTCTGCCACGTCTGCGAAAAAATGGCGACATTAGTGAGGTAAGTGATTTGTAACTGACATGGCACTGCTACTTCTACATTACCATATATATCTAATATAGCACTACTACTGCATTACCAACTATCTCACTAACTTTTATGTGCCTTAGCCATTCTGTTGGCTTTATTAGCAGTGTCCTTGATGGCATTACCATCCATCCGACTAACCTTTATGTGCCTTAGCCATTCTGTCAGCTTTATTAGCAGCGTCCTTGATGGCATTACCATCCATCCGACTAACTTTTATGTGCCTTAGCCATTCTATTGGCTTTATTAGCAGCGTCTTTGATAGCATTACCATCCATCCGACTAACTTTTATGTGCCTTAGCCATTCTGTCGGCTTTATTAGCAGCGTCCTTGATGGCTGTGTGGTACTCCAGCAGGAAGTTCTTCTCTTTCTCGAAGGTGTCATCAACATCCTTCTGTGTGGCGGAGAGCAGGAGTTCATCGGTGGACTTGTTGAAGGTCTTGAAGAGTCCTTCCATGCGCTCCTTCTTGTTCTTCGACCGCACTGACAACTACAAACATTTGTTCATTGTTAAGTGTATTCAGAATGACTGCAAAATTAAACATCTAAAAATTTGATATTAAACCATTTAGATTGATAGAAGAACAACATAGTTCAAAATTAACAGAAAAATTATATGAAAAATAAATGCAGTTATGACCCCTTTAAAATATGCATTAGATTGCTATTCAAATATTTTTCACTTTGAAGAAAGTTAATAAATCTGAAAATAAAGGTAGGTACATAAAAACATACTCAACAAAATGAAAAAATACTTAAAGATACTTAAATCTTTGCACACAGTACATACATCGCTGTCATATTCAAGGAAGACTTTAAGGTTGTTGTCGCGTCTGAAGACAGGATGCTGTGCTAACCGAGTCAGGAAGACTTCATGCATTGCCACCGTCTTCTTGAAGATGGCAAGATACTCTCTGGAAATACAAATTTTCAGAGTTCACTTTTTGAATAGAAGTAAAAAAAAATTTTCAGAAATCAGCTCAAAATCATTTACAAAGATACGGTAACGAGTATACACCAGTGATGGAGGAATTCAAATATTTATTAATAAAGGGAGTTGTAATTAATAAAATATTAATATGGGAGAAATGTAATGGCATGGATATATATTTGATGGCTTTTTATGAGCAAAGGTTCATACCTTATTAGTTGATTAACTATATTCAACTGGATTATATATTAATTAGAAAACAGCAAAATATAAAAATTTTTAAGTTTAATTTTGAAAATTTATATCACAAAATTATATCTAGTAAGCCAGCAGGCAGAGGCCAGTACCCTCGTTGGCTCAAAAAGTTGATAGAATAAAAAGAAAAATTCATTGCTGGCCAGTCATTTTTTGAAGATGAATAAATCTGTGAGGCTGATATAATGAGTGACTCACGCCTCAAGCTCCTGCTTCATCTTCTTGAACTCATCGGATGTGAGGGATCCCTCACCATCACCCAGCCGCTGCAGCTTCTCCCGACTTGCATCAAAATCCGGACGTGGGGGAGGCGGTGGTATCTGTTCAACACAAGTCTCACATTAATATGGTTATATAATAGCTTTAATAACATATAGTAACTATAATAATGGATTGAAAAATTGTATATTCAGCCACTATGAAATTGAATAACATTACCGTCAACCGGGGTAATTCGGGACGATTTTGAGCGATTTTTGTTAATAACTTCTTACGATGAAACATTTCATAAACAAGTTTAGGCTCATTTTATAGCTCTTTGCGAGGGCTATCGAATGGCATTGTCATTTTTTTCAGGAATTTTTCAAAGCTAGTAAATGTCGTATTTTTCGACTCCCTTTATACTAGATAGATAGGAAAAATGTTGACGTTTACGCCACTATTTTTAGTTTTGCAATATTCCAATTAGTTTTGCTACTATAACAGTTTTACGCCGTGTCGGAGGACTGTCCCGAATTACCCTGCCAGTCCCGAGTTACCCCGGTTGACGGTAATTAGTAATTTGCGAGGTGATTGGCATACTTGGAAAAATTTCAATACCGGTATATTGTTTTAACTTGACAAGGATTTAAAATTGAATTCACAATGCTTCCAAAAATATTTGGTTCATGTCTAGTAGTGAGACGCAACCAGAACAAACTAACTTTATTTGTTATTCAGCTCCACAAAAATATACTATCAAGAGCACATAAAAGCCACTTTCTCAAATAGAAAAATATCTGTAGAGAATCAAAATGTACAAATTATAATTCTAAGAGATAAGATTCATTGCAGTTACTCATAAGAGAAACAACTGTCAGTCACTCATGAATGAGCTGACGCAAAACAATACATAGACTCACAATATAGCCTGCATAGTCTTCATTCTCTTCATATCTGTCATGAAGCCAAATGAATTCCTCATGCTGTCTCACGACACAGAACTCATTCTTGCTGTATTCTGGCAGAGTCGTCTGAAAACCAAACCATCTGAATTATCAGCATCAATAAATCCTAAAGTATACGCGTCAATAAATCCTAAATTATAAGCATCAATATCCTTGAATCAATTCAAAATTTACTGAAAGAACAAATTTGATTGGCTAAAAATGAACACAATTATAAATGAAGAAATTATAAGAAATTGAGCAGAACAATGAGATAAACCCATCAAGCATAGCAGATTCAACAGCACATTATATTAGCATATTGTAGAGATATTGAATAATTAAATTAATTATTCATTATTGTTATCAAGAAAACAAGGAAACCAAATTTTAAGTCATTTTTAATAAATTTTTGTGAATGTATAAATAATCTTTCTTGCCAATATCATTCAATTAGTATTTAACATGTTAACTACGAAGTGGTACATATGCGTACCACGAAATGTATTTCTCCAGGATGAAGTAATACATAATTAAGGTTGCCTAAAATCGGAGAATCCAAGAACAAAAAAGGCCAAAAAAAGGCCGATAACTCAATATATACGAGTTTATTTGTAGCTTCTGCTATAAAAATTCCATTTATTTTCTTTTTGCAGTATTTAAAATTTAATTAGGAAGTACTCCCATCATAAATTTTAGCCGGCCAACGCAATTGAGAAAAACTATATCACGGAATTTGTCCGGAAAAAATGACCGTCTGGTAAAACTGTTTAAAAATGGTACTAAAAATGAAATAGTAGTACAAGATGAAGCAATCATAGTCAACGTGTTAAAAAATTAAAATTCAACAAGAAACTCACCTTGGTGTGTACAGAAAACTTGACTTTCTCTCTCTCGCTGAGGGCATCTGAGATGTCAACGGCAAGAGGGTTGTCCAAGAGCTCCACAGTCTCTCCTCTCACTTCTTTTACTTTTTCTGTACCATCCATAACTCTAGGCTGTATAAAAAAAATCTCAGCATGATAAAAAATTTTTCATTGCCTGCAATGATGTAAAAAAAAAATATTTAAAAGAATTGATCCTTTTTCTCATACTGCAGTATTTGTGATTGATACGTTTGATGTATAAAATTCATACCAGTACACTTGCAAATAGTTTAGACATGTTACTATTGCTGTGGTGACATCAGCATGAGCTGGTGACATCATTTCCATGAGCTGGCATGAACGTCAGCACTACACTCTCTGGCCCTTTGCATTTGTTAGGATTTAGAATTCATGACAATAAAGTTATAAATGGCCAATGCAAAAATTTGAGCACTGAGAGATTGGCAGCATTTTTTAATATTTAAACAATAGTTAGGAGAATATTTTTATGCAGATTAATTTAAAAAATACAAGAGGTTGAGAAATATCCTTTGTGCACAAAATGGGACATTACAACTCTACTGAATAAAAGGGATAACAAATATTAGTAGTAAATTATTTCATATATAGCTGCATTCAAATGGTATCTTTTCTTTAAATGATCTTCACAAATCACAACAACATTAGATTCTAGTTTTACACCATAGATCCAAATATATTAAAGAAATTGAAAACTATTTAAATTGATTTAGTATTCATCAAAATTTTGGGCTGCAGTTTCAGCCTATCATTTTATATAACACAACAATATATTTAGACTTTAATTTTTAAATTTTTTTGGCCAGAAGTAAATTAATTCAGAGGCTGTCCTAATATAAGATGTTATAAAATCTTGCCACATTCAGTATATAGCTTCTAAAAATCTTCTAAAATGTAATTATATTTTCATTTATAAATGACTGATTAGTGACCTTCAATCCAATATGCACACAATTACTTACAGTTGTGTTGCCATTGGTTTCAGGTAGCCCTGGCAGCGACTCCAATCCTTCCTGAAAATTCAACAACATCTAATTTTGTATACCTTAAAATGAAGATTGTTAAAAAAATGTTGGAAGAAATATATATAATGTTTCCATCTGTTCTACATGTTTTAAAGGTATGTGCAAGTCATTAAAGTTTGTAACAATTAAACAATTAGTGATGCAGTATAAATTACCGTAGTATAAAAAAATTAAATTTGGTTGATATTTGATTTGAAATATCAATCTCCATTTGGAACATAAAATATAATGATACCAAAATTCATAGATAATTCAACTATTTCAGAATTAATATATTATAAACAGCCCAATATGATATATTTTTCTCATTCAATAGCAAATTTAATTTCACATCAGTGGAAGTTTTAAAATGTCAAACATTTTAATTTCTCAAGATTTGCAAATAAGAGAGTATATAAATTAGAGTGGTGCCACATGTTGTATATTCCTGGAATGTAATGAAAATGCTTTTTTTCTGCTCATTATTACTTCCATTTCTTTTAGTCAATAATCCAATTATAAGCAGAGTGTATGATGCTAATTGACGTGTTTTTTTTTTATGGGACATGAATATAAGTTTGAACAGTTTGGATGCATTTTTACAATGAAGTACTTCTATACACTATTCTATAATGATTTAATTACTGCACAGTACCCCTGTACACCTTTGCATATATTCTTGGCAAAAAATATTGAAGAATTGTGTATATTTCTGGAAACAAATCCTTGATAAAAAATGTGACATTTCTGGTGTGGAATCTACCTACCGTCAAATGGGGTAATAAGGGAAGGGTAGGGTAAATTGTGCCATTCCTCCACCATGGCACAAAAATGTTATAGCAGCAGAACTAATTGAAATATTGCAAAACTAAAAATAGTAGTTTAAACTTTAACATTTTTCCTATGTAGCATAAAGGATGGTGAGAAATCCTACATTTACTAGCTCTAAAAATCCGTGAAAAAATGATTGAAAAGTGGTCTTGGAAAAAGTTCTGCTAAGGTCCAAAGCAGGATTGCAATTTTTCTACTTGTTTCTGAAATCTCGTGGCTCCAACTTAATGAATTTTTAATACATTTGGAATTTTGCAGCCCAATCGTGCACTTTTTTAACCGTTGGATAGGAGCTAGGCCTAATTCATTTGGTGGAAATCTCACTGTTCTGGAAATGGCAGGAAATCTCATGCTGCCGTAAAGGCAGATGGATGTTTTCCATGCTTGATCCAAAGTAACAAATAAAATTTGCCACAATAAAAAAATATTGATTTAAAAAAAGTTACAGATACAGGTGTTGGCTTTAAAACTTCGATGATGGAATTTTTGTATCACAATTCAAAACAAAATTGCAGCTTACGTCTTTCTAAGAAACCTAGTAACCTACATCTTTATCTTAGAATAGAATAGAAGTGTCAGCGTTGAAGAAATAGGCCCATGGCCTGTTGCCGATTGTTGAACTTTTCGGGACTTGATTCACAAGGGATCCGGCCTTTGGAACCCGATCTTTCCATAGCTGACAATTGATTGAGATAGCTGCTGGACTTATTGCCTGGTCTGTAATTTGCTAGGCATTTTAAGACTGAACATATGCTCCTGCATAGCTTCGTCTAGTCTGTTTTTGAAGATGTTCATACTCGGAGCGTCAACGATGCTATCAGGGAGGCTGTTCCACATGTCAGTGACTCGAACTCTCGAAGCGAGAAGAAATGTTGTTGCATGGATGTGTTCCAACGCTGTTTTTTTAGTTTATAGCCGTGGCCCCTGGTGTTGGTTCTTGTTTCAACGCTGTTTTTTTAGTTTATAGCCGTGGCCCCTGGTGTTGGTTCTTGTTTCAAATTCTAATAATCCTTCTGGGACCTTTATAAGTCATGAGTATACTTGCATACTTCAATGAGGTCCACACACAGATGTCGATAACTGAGGCTTGGAAGCATCATAATCTTTAATCTTTCCTCATTGGACTTGCCTTTCAAGCCCGGAACTATTCTTGTTGCACGTCTTTGAACAATCTCTACTAAATTTCTGTCCTTTTCAAATTTTGGTGACCATACAACGTTTCCAAACTCTAGGTTGGGCCCCATGATGATGATAGTGGCAAATCAGAGAGTTTTTTAGACTCTGTCTCAAGTTCATTTTTGAGTCCTATAAGAAGACCAGTGAAGTATCATGGATACCAGCATTATCTTACTTGAGAAATTGGTTAAAATCTTGAGTAAATGAGGAAATTAAAAATTAACTGATTCTAAAAAATCTCTGGTTTGTCACTGTGCCACTATGGTCGTTCGGGCACATAGCAACAAACAACTGCTTCATCGTTTCTACATGACTACATCTAGGAACTCGAAAGATCGTCTGATCAGTCCAAGTCATTTATTGGCTATGGCTTTATTAACTTGACCTACAATATGCTTATTCTTATTCAATGATTCCTATGATCTTTCTATGACAGACCACGAAATGTAAATGATGATTAGGCTATGATCAATTTCACCATTTCCTTGGCATTTCACCATGGTGCAGAGGGTGGATGCAGCATTTCCAATATATGGGTCTTTAAGCCCTAAGCGTCGCCGGGTAATTTTAAGATGCGTCGCCGGGTAATTTTTAATGAAAAGCCATTTATGCTGAGTAATGAAAAATGATTTACAAGCCACGAACTTATTTACAAGGTTGCATGCACATATTACCCCAAATAACTAATTTTACCCTAAAAACAGTCCGATTGTATAGCAAGTGTCAACTGAACATGTGATAATGCAGTCTGACCACTCTAATGTGACCGCAACTACGTTATCGTAAACTTGGGACGACTGAAATAGCCCAGCTTTGCCCAATACCAGAATAATTTTCATACTTCTCTCCGTGCGTAAGCCTGCTGCAGAGCAAATTAGCCAACATGATTACTTGCTGAAAGCCACAGGGACCAAACCCGTTCATGGATGTAAACCAGCAAGCCAATGAGCTGCAGGCCACAAATACAATGGTCGTAACCCACATGCTAAACCCCTAAATATTTCTATTCCATGCAGCCTAGCCCCTTCCCCACTTTCGATAAAGAACGCCCTGCGCCACAGTGCTATCAGTACAATGCTACCTCTCCAGCCTATCCGTTCTTCTGGAGGCTAAACCTCCACGCTTACCCCCTGCTCCCCCTGCTTTTGGTACCAGCTTGCGGAAGAATTCTAACCAAACCTAACCTAACCTAACCTAACCTAACCTAACCCTTTCGCGGAAAGGTGGAGAGAAGGGGGTGAATGTTGAGGAAAAAGATGCTGGTGAGCGTCAGGGCTGGGCTTACGACTGCGAAGTGGGTAAGGTGATGCGACAGTCCGGTGCAGGGCCGTTCCCATTTATGGCAGTCTGGTGCGGTCTGCGGACCCTGTGGCTTACGGCATTTGTAAGAAGTGATGGTATGGGCTTAAATCATTGGTGCAAGAGCTATTGGGCGTAATCCGTTTGGAGTATAAGCTTGTGGGCTGAATCATTGCTTTTTTCAAGCTGGTGTGGCAAGATGAGGTAAGTTAGAACAGCTGCATAGGTGTTATGCTATTTCTATTGCATGTAGAGGGTTGGCATTGGCTTTTGGGCTAATTTAAGAGTCAAATTTTTGGGCTACGGCAGCGCTCCCGTAAACTTGATGTTTACATTTTTTTGGTGGGAACTCATCGCAACTGATTTCTGGACAAGCTTCACTGCATACTGATCAAGCCAACATACCGTAAACTGGGGTAACTTTGACCACTTTTGGTTTTTTAACAAAAACCCCCAAAACTCAAAAACCATTTGACATAGAAAAATTTTGTCAATGGGCACTAAAGACCTAATACTGAGGCTACGTAACACAATAGAAAGATTTAAAAAGTTTGCAGGGGCATAATTAGTATAATTGGGAAGGGGGGGGGGAGTTTATTAAGGTAGCTACACATTACTTGTGACGTTCATATTAGTAAACTAGTGCCTGCCCTCATAACTAGCGTTACGTTACCTAGATTTGTATTGTGAATACATGCAGCAAATGTTTTTAATTGTTACTCTAATGCTTGGTTAGATTCAATTTATACAACATAATTCAAGACATACGAACAATATCAGCAACAATTGATATAATGAACGTTCTGTTCATATTATGAAGATATGGTCATATAATGAATTTAGTAAAATTTTATTCGTTATTTGCAGTCTTCAGAATAACGCGTTCACCAGAATTCTGCACAAATTGAGGCGGCCTAATTTAAAACATGTTAATCATACTGTAAAGCTATAATTCATTTAATTAATGGATAATTAATTCGGGTAATATTGCCTTCTAATTCATCACCGCTTCACCAGTTCATCACATCACATGGAACATCACAACACCCGCACGTTCATCACATGATGGTGAAAAATGTTAGCAGGAAATGATGATTTAACTTGGAAATCACGCCGGTGGGTGGATAATACAGAGGGAAATGCAGAGGGGAAATAGAATGAAATGCAGAGGGGAAATAAGAAAAGAAATGCAGAGGGGAAATAGAATGAAATGCAGAGGGGAAATAAGAAAAGAAATAGAGGGAAAATAGAAAAAAATAGAAGGAAATGCAGAGGGGAAATAGAAAGAGAAATAGAGGGAAAATAGAAAAAAATAGAAGGAAATGCAGAGGGGAAATAGAAAATAGAAATGCAGAGGGGAAATAGAAAAAGAAATAAAATTAAATGCAGGGGGATATAGAAAAAGAAATAGAGGGAAATAGAAAAATAGAGGGAAATGCAGAGGGGAAATAGAAAAAGAAGTAGAGGGAAATGCAGAGGGGAAATAGAAAAAGAAATAGAGGGAAATGCAGAGAAAAAATAGAAAAAATAGAGGGAAATACAGATGTGAAATAGAAAAAGAAATAGAGGGAAATGCAGAGGGGAAATAGAAAAAGAAATAGAGGGAAATGNCGACAATATATACGAAAGTAACTCAACGGAACCTCGGTAATTAGCAAGAACTATCAATAAAAATTACTAAGCAATGTAGTTATACAAGTAAATGCACATGTTTTGTTCAGTTATATCAATAGCAATTACTAAGCAATGTAGTTAACACAAGGAAATATATATGTTTTGCTCAGTAATGTTTTTTGTGAGAAGAATTGTCTTTCCCACTTGGTATTAACAGATCAAAATATGCATTAATGTTTGTTTATGAATAGGGCTTCAAAGGTCGGAAAATATGTATGCCAGGAATTCATTTTTTGTTAGTCTTTACAAAACAAAAGCAAAGATAGGAACACAACCAAATTAAAAATAACAGCAGTCAAAATAAATTCAAAATCATTTTCTAGATTTAACGAAAAAAATACATGTCAATAAATTGGAGGATAAAATATGAAGTGCCGAAAAAAAAACAATATAAACTGTCTCGATGATAATGGGGGAAACCTTCTCGATGATAATGGGGAAACCATCTCGATGATAATGGGGAAACCATTTCGATGATAATGGGGAAACCATTTCGATGATAATGGGGAACCAAATCTATGATAATGGGGCAACTATCTCGATGATAATGGGGAAACCATCTTGATGCTAATGGGGAAACCATTTCGATGATAATGGGCAAACCATTTCTATGATAATGGGAAACCAAATCTATGATAATGGGGCAACTATCTCGATGATAATGGGGAAACCATCTTGATGCTAATGGGGAAACCATTTCGATGATAATGGGGGAACAATTCCGATGATAATGGGGAAACCATTCCGATGATAATGGGGAAACCATTCCGATGATAATGGGGAAACCATTTCGATGATAATGGGGAAACAATTTCGATGATAATGGGGAAACAATTTCGATGATAATGGGGAAACCATTCCGATGATAATGGGGAAACCATTCCGATGATAATGGGGAAACCATTCCGATGATAATGGGGAAACCATCTCGATGATAATGGGGAAACCATTTCGATGATAATGGGGAAACCATTTCGATGATAATGGGGAAACCATCTCGATAATGGGGAAACAATTTCGATGATAATGGGGAAACAATTTCAATGATAATGGGGGAACTATCTCAATGATAATGGGGAAACAATTTCAATGATAATGGGGAAACAATTTCAATGATAATGGGGAANTTATTCAATGATTCCTATGATCTTTCTATGACAGACCACGAAATGTAAATGATGATTAGGCTATGATCAATTTCACCATTTCCTTGGCATTTCACCATGGTGCAGAGGGTGGATGCAGCATTTCCAATATATGGGTCTTTAAGCCCTAAGCGTCGCCGGGTAATTTTAAGATGCGTCGCCGGGTAATTTTTAATGAAAAGCCATTTATGCTGAGTAATGAAAAATGATTTACAAGCCACGAACTTATTTACAAGGTTGCATGCACATATTACCCCAAATAACTAATTTTACCCTAAAAACAGTCCGATTGTATAGCAAGTGTCAACTGAACATGTGATAATGCAGTCTGACCACTCTAATGTGACCGCAACTACGTAATCGTAAACTTGATGTTTACATTTTTTTGGTGGGAACTCATCGCAACTGATTTCCAGACAAGCTTCACTGCATACTGATCAATCCAACATACCGGAAACTGTACTTTTTTTAAATAGTTGGCCAAAGCATAGTGGCAAAGCAGAGAGTTTTTTAGACTCTCCCCATAGTGGCAAACAAGAGATTTTTTAGAATCAGTTCATTCTTATTTCCTCATTTACTCAATATTTAAGCCAATTTCTTATGTATGATAATGCTGGTATCCATGATACTTTACTGGTCTACTTATAGTAGGTACCTACTCAAAATTGAACTTAAGGGTGAGTCTAAAAAACTCTCTGCTTTGCCACTATGGGCCAAAGACTGACAAATATATTAAATGAAAGAATTTCAATCTAAATGTGTCGGCAAGATCTTCTGAAGGCATAAATTTTGCTACTGAAGTGTCGCCAAAGATCTTGCAATATTCATCCACTCTCTGCACAGTGGGCATTTCACTATAATTTAATTTATGAAATAAATTTTATGGCTAATTTTTTAAAATCACCAGCAAAACATTCAATTCTACCTTTAATTTTTATAAAATTTTGTTCAATATTCACAATAAGAGGGAAATCACACAACAACAATGACTTTTTTCTATCATAACATTTTTCATATATTCTCCAAGCCCAAAATTGCAGCAAAAGCAAAAGCAACATTGTCATAATCTGCCCTCACCGATCATCATTAGGGAATTATGGCATTCACCAACACCAACGCTGCGTCACCAACTCACCATTACTCACCAACTGTCAGTCTCAGATGTTTCATAACAAATAAACATGCGGAATAGCTCATAGCCTAAGCCTAGAGCCTACTTGCTCAATCAGTCAATGCTCAACATAAAAATAATGATAAAATCATTCATGTAGGTAAAATAATACGAAGCTGTGTAACATCATAATACACAAATAACTTGTAAAACTTACCATCATCCTGAAAGTTGACAGAAAGAATATTCGCTATGTACGCTGAATACCGTAGCAAGAAACTTTCTAGCCTAATCAAGAAAAATATCCTTACTTGTTTGCTCTATGATTCACAGATCTCCACAAAATCAAAACAACTAATTCGAACGTCTATTACAACTCCCCTTTGCTATAAACGATAAAGGTTTGATGCAAGCACAGACTGTGTATGCATCGGTAATAAAGGATTCCGAAACAGATGGAAGTTAATTGCAATTTGATAGTCAACAATTTGATAATGAATGCGTCTTAGAAAGGATAAAATAATATAGCATATGTAACTTATGATTCCGTCAACTTTACATTCGATATTAACGTACTACACTCTGTCAACATATAAATTCATATTGCGCCATGACTTGGCTACTAGGCTTGTAACATTCATTTTTTCACAGTATTTTGATTGAAAAGGAACGATGGATACAAAAAACGCATGATGAGACAAAACAAAATTTATAGATGCCCTTCGGGCCTGACAAGGGCTGAAAAATTCCTCACAATTAATTTTTTTTCACTTAACATATCGACAGTATCAGCTAGATTCTCCTTTAAAGTTTTCAATCGAGCCTTTCCTAAGCACGTAATTTGAATACGTGATGAATATGTGACTCAAAATATCAAACGTCTGGAATGGTCACTTTAAGATGCAAATACTGAGAAGATACGACCAGGCCTCGATTTATTACCAAAAGCTGCATCTCTTAGCACAAGCCCCTCAGTAATATGAGAGCCCAGTCAACTGGGTGCGAGCCACCGACTTTTGAAGGCTTAAGCCTTAAACGGAGGAATGGTGGGAAGCTTTCTGCTATTTAATATCGGCCATGCGTCTTATCACAACCTGACGACAGACCTCCTTTGTTTTCAGGGCTCGTCCTACAGTTGAGTTTGTCCTCCAAAGCAACATGCCCCCGCCACATCAGTCCCGACTCATGATTTTCCTGAACGGGCGCTCAACCCTCACAGATCTAATAGGAAAATATACATGGATGAGAAACATTTGAAAAACGATTGCATTAAACATTTCTCTACCGACGGTAACTTACGTGATCAGGCCATTTGAAATAATTATTTTCGCGCAGATAGTATCCGAGAATAAAGTGATGAGAACACGCGAAGTGTCAAGTTTAGATACTGGGAACCACTTAAGGTGGAAGATGCAGCGTCGGACTTACAGTGGGGGGAAATAAATATTCGTACACTTGAAAAATCGTAGTTTAATGTATGTAAGTACACAAACTTAACAGGAAAAGTGATTTAAATTATGTATAGAGACGCATAGTATTCAAAAATACTATCAAAAGAAATTAAACACTTTTCCTGTTAAGTTTGTGTACTTACATACATTAAAATACGATTTTTCAAGTGTACGAATATTTATTTCCCCCCACTGTATATGTAGTTATCAAATCAAATTATACTATAAACAATTATGTTCAATAAAACTCCACGCTTTTAAAGGGTATTTACTAAAACTAGGAAATGATGAATAAGGGACAACAAATTTCGCCAGTCCATTTTAGCTTTTCTGAATCATAAACAATTTCTGTAATAATCAAAAAAAAAAAAAAGAAATAATATATGAATAAAAATACAAAAACCTCAAGATATTAACATGTTTGATGCCGCTCCGACCACGAGAAAATGAATTAAAATAAGATGAAACACAGTTGAAAGAACGAACCGTGAGAAAGAACGTGAAAGATTCATGTAGAATAAAAGTCCCTTAAAGAAGACAAGAATATTACACTAGTTACATCTTATATGCTGTCAACATTTCTGATGAAGTACTGTAGCAGATAAAAATGTCGTAATTACCGTAGACTGAAACAAATGCACAAACACAGAAATCAGCGAAACATTTGTACAGGATTTACTACCTTCAACATATTCAACCTTTCGACTAGTTTACATCGCGGGTAGGAATAGCACTAAAAATTGTTTCCAATTAATGCTTATAAGAGGGTAAACGTCAGGAAGATAAAATTTTACAATAAATAAATCTTAAAAAGAATACACCGTCCATATTGAACATATAAAAAAATTGCGTAAGATATGGATATAACCGTCAGTTCTACTCACATATGAAGAGCAACTTCATCAATAAACTTTTGTAATATTAATTATGAAAATCATGTTCAACTTCATCAATAAACTTGGGTACCGTATTAATTATGAAAATTATGTTTCGACAAGCCCCTACCACCCTAGAAGCTGGGATTGAATCAAATAAAAATCTACGACTCACCGCAAGCAAATTGAAATCTAATGACAACATAAACAGGTTGGCTTGTATGCAGGATCCTAACCATATACCTCATGCATTGCAATATTATAATGATAAATACCAGTTTCTTCAATACATTCAACGTATCGTCATTAATTTTTCGCATGCTGACTGTAAAATCAATATTGAGTTCAACCAGTAGCAATATCTAAACATAGGCTTAGGCTTTGTTTTACAATAAGCCGGGTGGCGTCTAAAATCATTAATGTTCCAGAACCGGAAACCGAATTTTTAAAACTGGCCTTAGTACCGGAAGCAGTAGACATATGGCAGTAGATTTCTCCTTGGTAATTGGTGTTTTTAGATTGAATTTAACTACTTTTTGATAATCTGTGCCTAGATGTTTAAAAGTAATTGAATATTAACGAACAAGTTTTCCCTACCGTCCTCATCTTCCTCCAGGTAGAATTTAAATGATTTCAATTTGTGAAGAAAATTCGCAGCACAGACACCTCAGTCACTCGCTACATCTTACCGTAACCAGAAAAATTTTATTTTATTACTAAACAGTTGGACCCAACATCACTCGATAACCCGATATTTATCTAGATGTATTTGACATTACCAACAGAGATCATTGATGGCAAGACGAGAAATTTTATGGCAAGAATTTGTAAATTCCAATCAAATTGTAGTTCCGAGTTGACGATGTTAAATGGGGTTACATGGATAGAATCGGTAGTTAGGTAATCAGCCTAGGAATACGACATGAATTCAGGACAGAATTCGAGTGAATGTTAAAGGAACGATTCCGGCACTCATCGAAAAATTAATGTTATGCATATGTTTCAATAGCGACAGTTGCACAAAATATTTCATCACATTGATTTAGCTCTGCATGAATCTTCCAATGCAGGAGTAGAATGGAGGAATGCTGTATCAACAAAGCAAATATCGTACAGCAAATGCAATAAAATTTTGGAGACCTGAAAAATGAAGTAATAGTATTCAATCATTTGAATGCTCCAAAAGCAAAAGGCCCGTTTGAGCAAGAAACGCTCTGCGCATTTGAAACAATTACCAGAAATAAATTAAACTTGATTTACTCGCCTAAGTTCATTAACATGAATCAGCCTACCACCAGAGAATAGGAAGGGGTTCGTCTGTCTCAACAACAGACGCTCTAAGGATTGTGATGAAAACATCGATAATTAAGCGACTGCATGGAGTTGAATCTTGGGTTGATAACAAATTAGAACATTGATGAGAGCGAGCGCACAGGCTTAAATTAGACATACAGTACTATCTAAATTCATCCTTGCCAGTCATAAAACTTGTCCTTAAAACATTAACGTTTAGATCCCCTCAGGTAACACGTACCCAGAGCTTGTTTAGGGACACCAAATCAAGATCATGCTGGAGCACCGACCTCGATGGCTACCAAGCGCTGTCCATCAGCAACACCGAGAAATAAACTGAGCTTCCCGAGGCTCGAACCCACGAGAAGCCCCTCTCACCTCGATACCGCTACCACTGCGCTACAGTTAAATGGCTAAGCATTACGCTCAGCCATTACTACCAGTCAATTAAAAAGTTGGCTCGCCCAGTCCTGCCAGCCATCTAACCTGCGGATAATGTCCAAATAAGAACGTCGGGGTCACAGTATTACAGACGATCCATCATCCGCCCGGGCAGCTGGTCAGCCATCTATCCAGCCACTAAACAATCCGTCCACAAGAAAAGCCACTCACCAATCTATTCGTCCAGTCGAGGGAAAGAAGATAATTGATATTAACCCTTCCAGATATTTCAGGATGGATTCATGGCTTTTCGTTCTGCCAGATCTGGATAGATGTATAAGCTTGTCCAGCAGGAGAATAATGGCTTAGTAAAGTTATGGTTGTTGATGGTTATTAGGGCGTCGATGATCTTGCTAGAGCAAAGGGATGAGCTGGAGGTCGTAGGAGGGGGGAAATAAGTGAAGGCAGGGGTGAGGGAGGGAGAGAATAGGAAAAACAAAGTTGTCGATTAAAGATACTTCAAGGAAAGAGAATGGCGGAGGTCTGGATGGTTTGTCAGCACGCGGCGGCCTACAAACGTTCATACTCTCAGCATTGCAGCGTGATGAGGGCTAAAAGAAGGGTAGCGAAGGGTCTCTAGAAGGGCAGCCAAGGGTCGCCAGAGAGGCAGCCAAGGGTCGCCAGAAGCTGATGGTTCACGCCTGACTCTCACCCCCCTGCTGGGGGACGAGCTCCTCGTCCAGGATGGGGACGATGAGGTTGTCCCGCGACATGAGCGAGTACTTGGTCACGAACACCGTGAAGCGTTTGCACAGCGAGCTGCTCGCCTGCACACACAACGTTATGTAAAAATAAATGTTTTACATGTTTTATTGTGCCTCAATTGCGACAATTACCTCATCACAAAGTGATCATATGTGGTAACTTTGATCCACCCTTTCGTGAATCACGAACTCCTCGTTGTATGTAAATAACAACACAGTACAGATAGTTCTGTTTATGCACAGAGTGACGGACGGAACATTAATTCTGACATTTTAACTTAACCCTATAAAGTATACCTTATACAGGTACCGTACGTACTTATGTAACCCCATAAACTATGCCTTTGTAAAACTATACCTTTTTGGACTTGATTGCAATTGTTTTGACATATTTCTGATACCATTTTTGCTTCTAACATACCTATGTCGCACTCACCTCAAATTGGTCGAATATTTTACGATGGTGGAAGTATGCGTGGGAAAATATGCGGTAAACACGCCGGCATACGGAGCCCAGCTTAGCCACTGATGACTCCTTGATGCTGACTCTGCACGAGGGATAATGACAGGGAGTCATGTGTGTCGCTAACACTACATTCAATGACTCCAATAATTATAGAATAGTTCTATGGAAAACTTATGATTACTTGTATATATTGATTAATTATACCTATACCAGATTACTGATTACTTATATACAAGTTTACAGATTACTTACCTATATTATGATTACTTATATACGGTATAAATATATTGCTTACTTATATATATTGGGGTTGCTTTTCCTCAACGTGTTACCTGCCACGAACCTGAATCATACTAAATGCATAATAGGTCCAAGTGCATGATTTTTTACTAACCAACCTGCAACTATCTACCCTCCACATTAGAGATAATTGCAATCAAAACAAATCAATCTCCACTGATATGCTTAAAAAACTACGGTATGTGCAACTCGCGCATTCCCTGAATTAGAATAAATGCAAATATCATCTAATACTTTATGTAATAATAAAGTAATAATACTTTATGGGGTAATGCTTTATGGGGTACACATAACTGACCTGCTGGGGAAATATTTGTTAGAGTTAAGGAGACAGGCGGCACCATCGAGGGTGTGTCGCGTGTAGTCTATGGCAGGGCATTCCTTGGGCGTCTTGTGGGCCGCACATAGGAAGATCCATTGCTCCGTGGCGGTCATTTGGGTGCATGTGGCGGGCTGACACTCGCCCTGCAGCCGCACGGCCAGGCCGTTCAGCTCCATGCAGAACTGCCTGTGATACATTAATGGTTAATAACGAACGTATGGAGCCACACTGCCAGGCCGTTCAGCTCCATGCAGAACTGCCTGTAAAACGTCAATGGTTAATAGCACACCTCTGCAGAAAAATTGGAGGGGGTACTCTGACAGGCTTTAAATAATAGCTTTTTTTGTGGGTCACATTATTAATTTTTTAACCTATTAGATATGCAAACTTTTTAAATCTTCCTATTGTGTTACGTAGCCTCAGTATTAGGCCTTTGATGGCCATTGACAAAATTTTTCTATGTCAAATAGTTTTTGAGTTTTGGGGGTTTTTGTTAAAAAAAACAAAAAGTGGTCAAAGTTACCCCGCCGGTCAAAGTAACCCCATTTTACGGTACATCAATAGGTGTGATATATCAATAAGTGTGATACCTATATCCATGATTTTTTCTCACCTTAAATGCTCATACTTCCACACACCCTCATCCTGAGTCTCTGGGGCAGCCAGAATTGCATCTATGTTGGTATGACTGCGGCGAATGCTCTGCTGGATGAACTGTTGAACCACAAGTGTAGAATCCATCTCTTCATAGGCCTCATCGGCCCATTTGTAGAAATTCTGTAGAATGATATAGGTAAACACTCAAAGAAGTTACATTTACAAAAGTACCTACATCATTATAGTATTTCATCACCACAACATTTAATAATCAAGATTTCTGTTAGCCTAACCTAACCTGCCTCAAAATGTTGCCAAAATTACTTAGTATGTTGATTATTTAATGACACCTGCATTTACCTAGGTTTGCAAATTTTCAAAATGAGCTTTAAATATTGATAAAATGCTATGGTGATGAGAACTATGATGATGATGAATTGCTATGATGATGAAATGTCCAAAGCTTAATTCCAGGTAAATACATTTTTTTTCTACTGGGAATTTTGAAAAATTGCAGGTGAAAATAGATATTTTTTATTTTTCTTTTCCTGAAGAAATTTGAAAGGGACCAACCATATTACCATAGGAACGGGTAAAATGTGCCAGATACACGGGCGTTTTATGCCATATTTATAAGTGGCTTCTGGCTTCAACCCAATTTTCCTGTTGGGATTTGGAGCTGCAATATATATACTTGGTAAAAAAATATGATTTTTCAACCTGACATAACTAAGCTGGCTAGAAGATTTCACATCTCCTAGACTCCTCAAAATATGATATAAGCTTAACATATTTTTTTTTAAAAAGACATATAAAAGTGGTATCATAGAGCAATATTCAGAGCATTGTAGTTCTTGAAAAAAATAAGTTTTATTTCTAAACTATTCATAGGCTATTTGTTCTTGCTTCTGGGGTTCTGGCTAAGATAGAAAAAAATTAGGTAGACTAGGTAGCTTTGATAAAATTGGTAGGTACCTAGTTATTCTTCTCCCAGCTGAGAAGAGAATTTACATACAGTAACTATGTACTAACTACTATACCTAAATACTCTGAAAGCCTGCATTACAATGCTTTGCTGCAAGTTGCAAGGCAAATCATACATTTTTCTATGCAGATGAAGTTATCTATGGTTTAAACATATTGGCAAACATGAGCTTTTTAGAATCAGCTTTTTTTAATTTCCTCATCTACTCAATTTCTTATGTATGATAATGCTGGTATCCAAGATACTTACTAGTCTACATAAAAGTTATACTTATAAGACTGAAAAATGAATTTGAGGAAGGCTGGAAGGGCAACAACTAAAGTTCTCTTTCGCCACAATGCAAATTGCAAGGGTACCTAACTTCCTAAGTCAGAGAATTACGCACCTCAGCTTTTGTTCCGGCTCTATTTCGTCTCAATATTACAGTTTGATCGGCCATCTTCATTTTTGAACAGATAAATAAAACGATTAGAATATCATACCAGGCGCAGGCAGCGACGCCAGAGATTTCAACTTTACAAGCTAACGACACAAGACTGCAATTTGTTTACATTTTACTCCCAAGCAAAGTTACCCTAACTTCATAATTATTGAGGGAAAAGGCAGAAAAAGATTTCCCGAAATATTGTTACATAGTGCATATATGAGTGTATACATATATTGTGTATAAATGAAGTGAGAACTTGAAAACTTCTTGTTAGATTAAATAATGATAGTAAGAGCTTGTAGTAAAAGAAATACCTATTTTTAGCTATCATTTAAAGGTATAGCTGAGTCCCATGCATACTATTATTATTATCCTATGAATCAGTTGTTGTGTCTGGTTCAAACTCGCTTCGAGGGTGCGTTACACACAAGTTTAATAGCAAGCAAAAAATAAATAGACACGAGAAAGGATAAGAACGCAGAAAAATGGCAAAGCACTTGATTAATTAACTCAACGAAATTGTTGAGGGTTCAACAGTGGGTTTCGACGAAACACCTGCGACGAAGGAGCCGATGTTACGGAAGCCGGCAAACTGTTCCAGGTTCTGGTGGGGCGACTAGGAGCGCTCTGTCACCGAGGGTAGATAGACTTGTAGATGGAATGACGAGGTCCGCTGTTGATGACGAGCGCAGCCGTCTTCTAGACGACAGATCTGACAAGCGCTGCAGACATTCCATGCGATGAAGAGGCGGAAGGCCGTGAAGGCATCGGAAATTCAGAGCCGCGGCCTTAAACAGCGTGCGCTGGACGTGAAGATCAGAGTGTGACATTAACATAGTCCAATCGGGTCAGAACGAGCGCCACCACGGGGGCCTCGAGAGACTGCGGCTGACTCTTATACATATTCGTCGCAGAGCGCCAAAATAAGCAGTGATGACTTTGGCTATGTGATTGTTCATAGAAAATTCCGAGTCCCGCAGAATGCCGAGGTTGCGAACCCAAGACTAAAGCATGACGAACGCATTGCCCGCGCGAACAGGGTTGGTTGGAAGCTGATGCTGGGTCCGACAGTCGCAAACCAAATAAAGTCGGTCTCTGATGCATTGAGCTGAAGCCGGTATTGGAGTGCATCCAGTTTGAGACAGCGCCCATGCAGACAGACATCTGGTCATGCAAGACTGTAGCGTCAGCCGCAGCATTTACTACCGTAAATGATATAGAAGTCGCCAAAGTAAATGACAAATATCTCGCATAAATGACTTTCCTGATCATTAAACGACTCGTATTTAGGAGGAGCGGAAGAGAAGGCAAGGTTGGGGTGGACAAAAAAAAATTAGGTTGGGGACACTTCTTCCAATTTCAGAAACATTGGACCACGATTAATAATTCAATACTTTGTCCATTATTCCATTGGTGTGGCCATGCCTCAAACAATGAAGAATATATTGTATAATATTACGCATAATTGCGTTGCCATTTACTCACCTCATGGTCCCCACATACATGTGCGTCTGTGCCAGACATTTGTCGTCAATTCTTTACAGTCGTACTTTATTTCACCTTAAACGTGTTCCCTTCCATATAACCCATCAACGGCCTCTACTTGGCGCCTCTACTGCTGTCCTTCTGGGGGCCTCTACTGCTGTCCTTCTGGGGGCCTCACGTGACACTCATGACACGCTGGAGTAGTGTGACACTCATGACACGCTGGAGTAGCGTGACACTCATGACACGCTGGAGTAGCGTGACACTCATGACACGCTGGAGTAGTGTGACACTCATGACACGCTGGAGTAGCGTGACACTCATGACACGCTGGAGTAGCGTGACACTAATCAAATGCTTGGTGGTCGGGTTAAGCAAACGAATCACATTTTTTAAACTCAGGCTCTCCATAATATGGAGAATTTCACCTTTTGTTAGCGACTACGTCATCGTTTAATCTCTGTGATTTTTTGATTATTAATTATAATTATCGGCGACTATCGAACCCGGTTTAAATTTCAGTGAAATATTTTTCACTGAAGAATTTTTTCGCATTTTTCTGCGTCCCGCAGAAAAATAAATGTATCACACTGTTCAAATAGTGACACATTTTCTTATTATAGGCGCGAGCAGGGATTAAGCGTTGCACTTTACGGCATAATGAGGGTCATTAATAAACTGGGTCCGAATAACACACTCAAAGGTAAAAAGTGCATCGATATTTGGACAGTAATCCTATAATTTCTCTCAGTGTAGAGCACAGGTCCCTCAACGCAGCAAATGCGAATTATTTTCGCACAAAGCAAACTAGCTCGTCGAGTTTACCTAAGTCAGCGGCTCCGGAAAATTCCCCAGGACGATCACAAAAATACCCCAAGTGCAAGCCTCGCGTGTCCCAACGGGGGGAAAATGTCTCCCCACGTACCTGAATTTCCCACAAAAATGGCGGGTAATTCGTGCAAAAATTCTTCGGAGATCGAGCGAAATTTTCGCTCGTAAGCGACAAAACTGCGTGCGGTGCACAGGGCAGCGGGACGGCCGACAAAAACTCATGTTTGTCGAGCGTTTGCTTTTATTTCGACAAGTGTTTAACGTGGAGAATTGGACAAAATTCGGTGCTGTTAACTCAAGAGTCTCGTAATGAGTGTGCTTATAATAAAGCTTTTATCAAATTAACAACATTTTATTGGGTGCCGTGCAAACTGTGACTTTAAACTCGTCGTCGCTTCTGTTTGAATTGAGGAAATTTTAAAGCGAGAATTTCGTCCTCTGTTGACGTGGCGATAAATCTTGCATTTGTGTCTGTTGCCATTCAGGTTTATACATGTACAAGTGATGTACATGTACATCATCTGAACGTGTACAACATCATCTGAACGTGTACGTCATCATCTGAACGTGTACAACATCATTCAGCATGATAGTTGTTATAAAAATCTTTCTCACTCTTTCATTGAAATCTCATGACTGTTTTTTTTCCGAAATATTGTCGAACTTCGGTGCCAACAAAATTTTTGATCGCCAGGATGTCGTATGGATCTCATAGGATTATTTAGAGCAAAAGCCCTATAAGGTAATTTCGTCTGGATGATGGCATTTTTTTGTCTTACAACGTGCGATTTACTGCCAAAATCTACGGGTAATTTTGTCAAGATGCAGGTATTATCATACGGAGCTTTTCACTGAAGAATCTATATGCGTTTATACTGTCAGGTACAATATATATAGGCTGTAAGTTTAAAAATTATTATAACGGTAATTTTGTGTCATGTATCCTACAGGATATATATCCCTGGTGTTCAGGTATCCTCATAACATATATGGTGCCTTAAAAATATTCCGGTAAAACTGCCTTCAATCGAACGTCCTTAATATTAGTGACCATTAAATGTTCGACTTCATCTAACGAATTTTGACGAAAATATTGTAATTTTGATTTCTAAATTTTGAATACAAAATTAACATTAAAATGAATTTTGGTGTGCATATTTAATTTTGAAGAAAAAAAATTAATATTAAAATGAATACATATATAATCCCTCGCCTCTTCCCCCCTCCCGTTTACCCCCCATCCAGTTTNGACCAATGCCCGCTGAATAGCCTCGAGTGATGTCATCACTGTTGACCAATGGCCGCTGAATGGTGATGGGTGATGTCATTACTGTTGACCAATGCCCGCTGAATAGCCTTGAGTGATGTCATCACTGTTGACCAATGGCCGCTGAATGGTGATGGGTGATGTCATTACTGTTGACCAATGCCCGTTGAATGGCCATGAGTGATGTCATCGCTGCTGACCAATGCCCGTTTAATGGTGGCGGATGACGTCACCAATGCCCGTTCAATAACAGTGAAGAAGCGTCACGGTGCTCGCCAATAACGGACCTGTAAGCACTCTTTTACTGACCAATCGGGTGACCAGAGTCGAGTGACCTTTTCGAGATTCTGACCAATCCAAATGTCGCTCGCGGGGCCGAGAGACTGACCAATCGTGGCCGTGCCTGACGAGTGACCAATAGCCGTGGTTGGCGTCGGTTGCCATGGCGACGGTCGTGTCGACAGGAAATAGACAAATATTGGAAATGTCAATAAGACGGCGAGGGCGAGTGGCTTCTGATAGAAAATTTCCAGATTAGGGAGCGTTTCGGGCGCGCCATTTGCGGCGTTGTGGCGCTGTGGCATGAGGGTCATCACGGCGGCCGTGTGGCATGCGCCACTGGGCTTATGGTGCGTCTAGAGAGCCACACAAAATACAGACACAAAATACAGGGACACAAAATACAGGGAATACACAGGCGCAACGGCTCTGAACTGAAGCTGAAATACATGCGTACTGAGCTTCTTATTACGCTTTATTCTGTGCGTGTGACTTGGAAAAATGATCGTGCTGTCAGCGTACTGTCAGCATGCGGTCAACGTGCGTGCTGTCAGTAATTGCTGTCGGCGTGCTGTCAACGTATACTGTCAGCATGCTGTCAGCTTTCTGTCGGCGTGCTGTCAACGGACTGTTGGCGTGCTGTCAGCTTGCTATAGGCGTGCTGTCAACGTGCCGTCATCGTGCCGTCAGCTTGCTGTCAGAAAGTTTTCCTGAACTGTCTGTCCTAAGAGATACAAGCATCCCTGAACCTAGCTACTGTTATCTGAATAAATTTCAATTCTACACTTGTCAGCTGTAGAGTAGACTCCTGCGTCTCGAAATAATTTTCTCGAAATGAACCGGGACAGACGAAACGAGACGAGAAAATTCCGGGAAAAAAATAACGGGACAGAGGGTAAAATTTGTCCCGGAATAAACGTATGAACCGAGACAAGAC